GTCTCTGGGACGAGGAGAAGAGACATTCCTGGTTTGTCAAGTCAGCTACTTGTGAGACTTTTGCTCCAGCAGTCCTAGTGACCCAGACAAAGTCTTTCTAACCTGTCCACTTACATGATATATAAAACACGTGGCACACACAGGGTAATAGTCCTCCTGGGATTTTTCATGCTGCTACAGTGGGTCCCACTACGATGCCTACATGACGCTGGAGCTCAGCCCTTAAGTCTGGTAATGCTGAGAGGATCCCATCTCCCCAGTGCCCCTCCTAAGTCTCGCCCCCACCCGTCAGCACCCCCATTCCCTACCGCATGGCATAGGTCATCCGGTCCGGCCGCATGGCCCTCATCATGCACAGGCGCTGCAAGGCTGTCTTGTTCTTCCACTCCTGTGGGAACTTCTCCTTCTCGGGACATTCCGACTCGACAAACTTTTTCCAGCTCTTGGCAGATCCCTCAATGTCCCGATCCAAATTGTAGAATTCTTCCATTGATGAAAGGGCCTGAGAAATTTCCGAGAATCCGGCTATGAGAAGCAATTTCCCCAGAAAGCTGTGTTTTGCTTTGTGTTGGGGCTACAAAAGCAGAATGGGATTATATGCCTCACTTGTACTCTTGTCTGGAACCTTGGTGTTACGTTTGGGTAACTCACAGAAGAGAAAGCACATCGGTCAACTCACTCTTAGTGAATTGCCCAGATAACACCAGGTTTTAGGAAATACAAGGTTTGGGGTAGGATAAACACTGGAGACTGAGCAGCATTTTTCGGGAGGATATTACATGAACATCAGGAATGGGAGGGGTGCTCTTATTAGTCTGGTCATAGAGATTGGATTCCTCCCTCTCAGCTCCATCTCACCTTGCCATCAACACTTTTCTCTCAAACTGTGTGTGCAATCAAAGACTTTGGTTAACACTAACTGTAACACTGACTTGAGATGCTTGCTTCTAAAGGATGAAGCCCAAATGCCTAACTTGGTAATCCAATCTCTACATTTAGTGCCGCCTTCCAAACTGTACACATAAGCACATTCCCTCATCCTCCCCTCCGCTGTCCGAGCGTGGAGTCACTCCAACGCCTGGTGATCCCATGTGCGTCAGGGTAGAACTGGGCACCACGGGTCTTTCAGAAGTAGTTCCTCAGGCTTTTCTTCTTTGGAATTTCTTGTTAGAATTAAACTTTCTGGTTAGCATGTAGCTGGATTTTCATCAACCAGAAACAAGGGAGAGTAATGCCGCAGAAACATCTGTACCCTTGACCTGGGCTTGTCTATATTCTTCTCCTTGCTGCTGAACAAGTGAGCTGGCTTTACACGTCCTTTCACATGGCTCAATGGCTCCCCACCCTCCCTGTGACCACTTAGAGACAGGAACATAGCCTCTCTCACACTGAAAAGTGGCAGGGGGTATATGCATGATGATAGAGGAGGTTTGAGGACATAGGACTTCTGTTCTCAACTCTTGGAAGAGCCCTGGCAGTGTAGTGGTTACTCACTGGGCTGCTACCCACAAGGTCAGCAGTTTGAAACCACCAGCCACTTGGTGGGGGAAAGATGAGCCTTTCTACTCCCCTAAAGAACTATACTTTCTTAAACCCATAGGGGCAGTTCAAGTTTGTCCTACAGGGTCACTGTGAGTCAGAAATGACTCAATGGCAGTGAGTTTTATTTTTTGTTTTAGTGTCTTTTTTTTT